AACCCCAACCCAAACCCCAACTCCAATACCCAAACCCAAACCCAAACCCAAACTCAATACCCAAACCCAAACTCCCAAACGGTTTGGGTTTGAGTTTGGGTTTGGTGCATGCCTAGTAGAGAGGAATGCCCTTATTTTTCATCTCTAAATGTATGTCTATTTTCTTTAGTATTCTTATTATTATAGATCATCATAGGTAATTAAACACATTGATCCTATCACCAAAGATAACAAGGGCAATCTGATTAACCAGAAATATTCAGGTTATGAAGAGATTTGTTAAGCGTGAAATGCTTCTAATAAAAGAACACTTTAGGTTTTATGTTAGTTGATGCAACATTATTAAATAGTAAACATTCTATCACTTACACGAAGCATCAGAAAACGAATAACGTTTTCTTTATTACGTTCCCATCAACACCTATAGGATGAATCAGAGACATTTTACTGTGTATAAAAAAAGCAGCAGAACTTTCTGAATTTATGCTTTTTTGTACGATCAAGCGTCGTTTCATTGATAAGTTTTCAGAATTCTAATAACATGTATCTCTTAAATACATATATAAGTTTTGTACGAGTTTTGGTATTTCTGAAAATTTAGCAGCATATAAAATATAAAAGATAAGCTTATATTCATCATCATAGATAAATTTACAATACTTTTGATTTTATTTGAACTAAAATTAATAAGATGTATAGAAAAATGTCATTAAAATCCTAGAGACTCGTTATCGTAAGATTTAAATTAATCGATCCTGACTTTGTTAGTAGCTTCTGTTTTAGGTCTGGTATTCTAATGTTAGAAGCAATAATTTTTGCCTAAACATGAAGAATCTTATCAACGGATAGAACAAGTAATCTCCCTGTAAGGTGAGTGTACTTCTAATATCTTGTCTTCAAAATAAACTAACACTTCTTCATCTGGGTTTGATAGTAAGAAGATTTTTTTGTTTTATGTTGATAATAGTTTGCTAAAAATATTCTTTCACAGAAGAAAAAGTCGGAGAGACTGCTCAATAAAGGATATAATTAATTTAAACATGAATCTATCAACTGCTGGAGTGATAGAAGTAAACTAGATAATGTGACGCATCGGATATAAACACGCAATGTAACTAATGATTATATAATGAATAGATATGAATGTATCTTTTTGCAAAACTTAGCATTTGAGGACTGATTTCATCGTTTAAGGATCTCTCCTTTCTTGGTTTAGAACTTTTTTATTCTTGTATAGTTAAAGGTAATGTCTGTTTACTAAACACATTTTGTGACTCGAAATTCGTCTTTAGACATCTAAAACTTCGTGCACAAATGAAGTTTACATGAAAAAAACAGAGAAACTGTACATTTTTTTTGACAATTTTATCAAAAAATCTTTGTGAAAAAACCTGCAAGAACACTTCCGTTTTTCCTTTTTAATACATGGGAGCGAGTTGAAAAGTGTTTCACATATATTAGACATTATTTAGGATGTTTATTCTTTTTTCATCTCAAAAAACATTATTCTGCTGATTTTTCAAGACTCGTACAAATATGAAAATGAATAGCCACCCTCAACAGTATATAGTACGGTAGAAAAGTTTTTAAGCGTCAGCTTCAAGTGATTTTAAGTCATTGATAAAAACTCTTGTAAGAAGGTAATATTTCTTCAATCATTACGAGTGGAAGAGTCATCGATTATTATAAAAAGATACAGATAGTACAGAAAAAACTAACAAATATGTCAAAGTTGCAGTTCAGCAAGAGAAATTCTACATTAAAAGTTTTTTTTTCAATGAATCATTTTAAAATGGACAATAATTTGATGACAAGTGAGAAATACATGTTTGATAGGATACTCCTAAATAGCCTTTGTTGACCTAACGTGATCCATATAGAAAACTTCCAATCTATGTCTGTTATCTATAAGTGTAATAAGTTTACTTTCAAATACTCTTGTTCTTCAAGAATATTATTTTTAAAATGAGGCTGGATACGATCATATTGCGATAAGTAAAACATTTCATGTAAAAAATGTGAATGTATCTGATGTAACACATATCTTCCTTCATACTGAGAGAAGGCTGATTTCTTGTAAAATCTTGAACAATTAAGAAGTGTCTTGATTAAATTATGAAACACTCAGAAACTATTTTTTAATTATAAAAATAACTATTCCTATGAAATAAACCATGCGAATCACTAATTTCATTTCCACTGAGAACTACTGTATTGATTAGTCTCTCTTCAAAAACAATAAACGAGACCAGAGACCGTCACAGGGCAATATTTTTTGTGTCCTGTCCTGCCGTGTTCTGTTCTTATGGTGATTCATAATATTTTTTCTGTTCTGTCCCACTCTGAGGGCAGTGCAGGGCGGCCCGGAACTTGGAAATTCAGCTTAAGTTAGGAAATATCTAATAGCTCTAAAAAAAACTCGTGATGGTAGAGTTTTAAACATTTGTATAATTCGATTCGTTTGAAAGTTATTTGTGTCGATGAAGTTGGACATGGGGTGAAAGTAGGTATCTCAATATGTGTTTACCTTTCATTTAATTTATGCGTAATTTAAATGGTAAGTAATTTATATATATTATAAATATAAATTTCTTACAATTCATATTTATTATAAGGTAAAAGGTGAATGACGCCCCAAAGTGAAAGTGATTGATTATGATAATAATGATGTTGTTTCGGAGTTCAGTGCTGGAAAATATTTATCAACATGTTGTTTAAAACATTCTTCACCACTCATCGTATTTTAAACTTGATTGCTCATACATTTGAAACCACTATGAAATTCAGAAATTCTTTCTAACTGATGATTACTTAATTATACTGGATAATCAAATACTCTTCACCATGTAACAGCAGATGAAGATCCATTCTTCACTATTTGATATTTCGATCTTTCAGTCAGTAATCGATATTTAATCGTTGCAGTATTGAATGAACTCATAATATATGAAGCCAGATTAAAACATTGAAGATAGAAAACTCAATGAGATAATTGAAACTAGAAAATTTAACTAAAAGATTTGAAGAAACTGGACCATTGGCATGTTTTAAACTTTTATATAAAGTATGCTGTACAAAACTACGTACATGTGTGAAACTATTTGGAAGAGGAATATATGAATATACTTAACAAAAAAAAGGGAATTTTTCTCTTATGAGCCAGTTCGAATAAGTCGCGACCGCCTATCATAGAAGGTGCTCGATCAAGGTCGTCAGATTTTTCTCAGTTTTATATGTATTATAGAGGCAAGAGTTTTAGGAATTCTGATGCTAGCCGTTTGAAAAAATATTGTTCCGTTTCCAAGATATTAAAACTTTTCTGAGGGCACCCTCACCAAAAAAAAAGTGCATTTTTTTATATTTTTTGTGACATCTATATCTCAAGAAGTAGATAAGCATTTGACTTGAAATTTTTAGTGTTAATATATATCATAATTTTGTGCGAGTCCGATCCAGAGCAAAATCATCTCTATAAAGGACGGACATTTGGCGATTTAATGAGGAAATGCATTCATCTTCAATTAAAAATACTAAAAGACTTACAAT